ATATTCTTTGTAAGCTTATTTCGCAAAGATGCCTTGTTTGTTTTTCGGAGAGAGCCATCCGCAGTCGCTAGAGACYATGGTAGTRGCCCAAGTGGGTGGCACAGGACTTCTCTCGTGTCGAGTTTACGGTTCTCAGCAATGATCAACATCTGTGCGAATAAAGCTCTGTCTGCCTTGATGATAATTTCCTTGCTTTTTCCTGCTGAAACTTTCATTTGTTTGGATAGGTTTCGAAACGTTGCCAGTTGAAGCTTGGTCATCTTGTCATGAAAATTCGATGTGGGTGGTGTGGACTCCAATCTCTCCTTTCGAAAAGAATTGTATGCCTTCTCTCCCTTTGATTCGGCTTCCAGCAAATCTTCAGCAATATCAGATGTTGCAAGTTTACCGGTTGAAAGGCAAACAAGATCCTGCTGGTTGCTGTTAAATGGATTGATCCAGGTTTCCTCTAGCATAGCTTGCAGTGCTCTAACATCTGTTTCATCTTTTGATATTCTGCTAGGTTGAAGATCTGTGTGCTTCCTAGTTGCTGTGTTCAAATTCAACATATGATTAAACTGATGCATCAAGATACTTCTGAATTCTGCAACTAGGTAGTATTTGCTCGCGGCACCTACAAACAATGACGAAAACAAAAAAAATTAATAGGCACTAAATTTGATACATTCAAAAAATGTTGCACTCAAATTCATCTTTACCTGGCTTCAARCTAAATCCTTTTGTCCCCCCAGGAGTCTGCGTGTCCTTGTTAACGGTCTCTTCTATAGTTTGATCAACCAAAAATCCACCCGTCTGAAAATATTCAGACGCACTTCTGGGTGGTCCTCTTTCAGATGTGACATTTCTTGTACGTAAGCTGATAGATACCTAGCGTAATTAATGTTGTCGTAAGCGAAACACCAAGGGACCATTTTTATCATACATGACATGTGGAGCTTCCAGTCACCTTTTCTTGATGCTCGTAAGAGCCCTAGAAGAATCTCCACAATGTCGATGTATGACATCCAGAATTTGGACAGCTGACCATGTTGTCTCAAAACTTGGATGAATTTGTCATAGACTTGGACGGATTCAACAAAAGAGGAACTATCAATTTGTCTCTTAAATTCTGCCTCACAAACATTCTCTGTAAGGGCTTCAAGTCCATTGAAAAATGCTTCGATTTTTCTCTTCGACTCTTTTGCATTCTCATCTAGCCATGTTAGAAATCCTTTCCAAATCAGCCTCATCAATGCCTCGTACATTAGTTTATGGAATCTCACACCACGGTTATACCTGCGACCTTCCATAACTCCAGCCACAGAACCTTCTGCCACTACGCCTGCCTCGATGCACAAGTCTTTAAGTCCAGCATCTTGAAATCGCTTTCCGATAATGGACAATAGTGTGCATGTTGTATGGAATACACCCATCCTTATTATGATGTCCTTAAATCGCTCTTCATGCTTCCATTGGATTTCCGTGGCTTTAGCGTATAGTGCTTGATCAAACACAATTACAATACTTTTCAGTTTTAGCTGGTTCTTAATGATTGTTCTAGTACCTCGTGGATATTTTTCCGTACAGACCGAGCAAACGAGGTTAATAACACTTTTATTATATGGCT